TGGAGGGTTGTTTTATAAGTTGACATTTGCAAGAAATTAACTGAGGGGTCACAGCTCGGCACCCTGGGTCCCTGTGGTTCAAATCCTGCTACAGAACTGATATCTCAATTGAACAATGTTTATTGAGCATGTAATGTGTGCCAAGTCCTGTGCCGTGTATTGAGAAAAGTGCTTTGGAGTTCAGTCACTAGCTGGGACTTTGGAAAATGCACCTAATTTTTATGGCCTTCCATCTCTTTGTCTGCCGAACAAGGATGATTCCTTGTAGGGTGATGATGAATACATTTATCCTGTGTGTCAGGACGGTGCTTACCGAGTGCAGACACAGGCCAGGCCTGTGCAAGGTGCAGGGGGCAGGTGGTGAGAGGCACGCGGACTCAACCTTGCAGAGCCTGCATCCTGCCTGGGGATTATGACCATCCCCTTGCTGCTGTAACCATGACCACAAATTTAATGGCTTAATACAACACAAATCTATCATCTAACAGTTCTGTGGAATAGAAGTTTGACGTAGGTCTCACTGAGCCAAACTCAAGGTACTGGCAGGGCTGTGTTGTCTCCAGAGGCTCTAGGGGAGAATCCTTTCCTTGCCTTTTCCAGCTTCTAGAGGCCACCTGCATGCCTTGGCTCATAAGATCTGGAGGAGGTGGCAGGCGAGTGGCACAGCTGCTGGGTGGAAGAGCATTCTGGGCTTCAGGGAACTGCAAGGGCAAAGGCCTGGCGTCATCCACCCAGAGGGACAGGAGCTGGTGCTCTTGGCAGAAACAGGACCACCCAAGAAGAGAGAGGAGGAAAGGAGCCGAGAAAGTGGCACTGACATTGACAGGAAACATACACATTTTCAGCGGAAGGTGGAAGAGAAAGAGGGTGAGGGGAGGTGTTGGCTGCTTCGGCAGAGCCCAGGATGCCAGACCCCAACTGGCAGGGAACTCCAGGAAGGGGCCTGGGTTGGGGTGGCCCCTTCTCAAGGGGTGGCCCTTGAGAACAGGGCGAGGATGGCTGTGGCCCAGGAGGTGGAACTTTTAGGATGGTACCCTAAGAGCAAGCACGTTTAGAGTCCTAAAGCCTCACACAACCACAGCAGGTCTTCATGGCAAATCTATGAGTAGGTTCTAGCTCTGTACCCCATTGTACGGATGAGGAAACTGAGGCACAGAGAGGGCATGTGACCTGTTCCAGAAAGGCCTCATAAATGGAAGGACTAGCTCTGCCTCCTGTGCTGATCACGACTGACTTTAAATAGTGAGCAGCCTCTGTGAATGGAGGGGATCAAGGCAGCACCCCAAGGGACTGAAGGAGAAGAGGGAGCAGAGTTCCCTGGACTGGGCCCTGACAATGGCTCAACAGGCTAAGGTTACAACCTGGGCTGAGACTGGGGTGGGGCAAGTGAGGCATCTACGATACAAGTTTAAGGAGACACTCACCCTCAGGTTCATTCATTTACACGACTCTGATGGTGAAGCTTCCTTAAATTCTGCATTGCTCCGTAGCCTACACTCACTGGGTAAGTGTCTTAACTTCTCTGTGCTGTGGATCATGGATAGTAGCTATTTATAGGGCTAATATGAGATGTAAATGCATTAAAATGGGGCAAGTGCTTCAAACAGTACCTGGCATTCAGACTATATATTTTTGCTGCTATTATCATTCACCGAAAGGCCAAGAGGGGTTGATGGCATCAGCCCAGGACACCATGAAGGCTGCCCTGCCCAAAGGTGGGAGGTGAGGGTCCCCAGGGAGGGAGGAACCAGCCTTTATGGAGCATCACTGTGCTGGGCCAGGCCAGCGCCGTCTCCTGTAACCCCATGTAGGCCTGATGAGTTGGGTGCCTTTGCATGCACATTTCACAGATGAGAAAACTGAGGGGCTGTGAGCAGAAGAGGCTTTCCAGCATCTCAGACTCTTAGAGGCTGAGCAGGCACATCCATGTCCATAGCACGAGTCCCTCCTGCCTCACCTGGTGGTGAGCCACAGCAGGCAGACAGACCCGGGTTCGAGCCTCCACTCTGCTATCGCTGCGTGACCTCAGGCAAGTATTGTGCCTCTCTGACCCTGTTTTCTTATCTGCAAAATAGGCATCCAACAGTATCTGTCTTGAGCGTGCTGAGAACAGGCGAGAGAACATAAAGTTTGTGAAATGTGGTGCAGAGAGGGCTACATCCTTTCATAAAGCACACGCGAGCCGACATTTGCAGCACACTCATGTGTGTGAAATGCTTCACGTGCACGGTTTCATTTAAATCTCCCCAGAAACACGCAATGGGAGGCACAAGCCATGCACCCACATCAGAGAGAGGAAAGCAGGGCCCACCCAGCAGCATCTTCCCAACAAGCTGTTATGGGCAGACAGTTTGGCAGCCCAGCTCAGAACTTGGATGAAGTCTCAGCCGAGCCCCCACCCATCCTGCTGGCCTGCCTGCCCCCGCCTGGCCCTCAGCCCTGCAGCCGGCGCATCTCCTCGGGGAGGGGACCACCCCCGCCTGCAAGGAAGTGCTCATTATGGAGAGTGGAGAGGGACAGGACCACTCCCAGCCACGTCTCCGTCTCTGAGCAAGCCCGGTGCCCCCTCCTCCTGCTGCCACCGCTATCCCAGCCGCCTGGGCTGCAGACGCCCTGGTGGGAGTCTCCGGGGCCAGATGTTATAGGGCAAGCTAAAAATAACCTGGCAGGCCAGCCACCACTGAGGAGGGGACACGTGCTGGATGCGGACACAAGATCTGAGGGACCAGCTGAGGGGAACTAAAAAGGTCCAGCAGACCGTGCACACGTCTGTTCCCACTTACAGGCCCCAGCCAGTAAGAGGGGTCCCGCTCCTTTGAGTGTCTGGAGGGTCGCTGCCCAGGGAGGAAATGCCTTTCACCAGCTGCGGGATGGCCAGCCGCAGAGGGACGGTCATCTGGGCTCTGTGCTTCCTGCTCCTTCTCCTGGAAGCCGGGTCTGCCAAGAATATCTGGAAGCGGGCACTGCATGCAAGGCTGGCTGAGAAGTCCCGCGTAAGTGCTCGGGGTGGAGAGGCTGGGGCCGCCTCTGTGGGTGGGGGGCAGTCTCCTGAGGGTGCTCCCCGCAAACGCAGCAGGGCAGGTGTCTTCCTTATCTGAGTGTGCCGGAGTTTTGTGGTGGGCAGGTGGGACTCACGGCCCTGGGAACTTTCCTTGCCTGTACGTAGAGGCAAACGGCACACCACGAAGATGTGGGAATCATGGCTCACTTCTGACTTGCTCCCAAAGTACACTTTCTCCTGAAAAGCAGCACCTAATCAATGAGTCCAGGGACTTATGCTGAGTGTTTTGCCTCCACAATTAATACCCACATGTTTATGAAATGTAGTTCTGCATCCACGCACTTATTTATGCATTCGGTAAACACTGCGCAGAAACTGCCCTGGGGAAGGCGCAGTGCAGGGTCCTTGGTGTGCAAGAGGAGGGTGGCATAGCTGAGTGAGGGAGGCAGTCAGGGACAGATGATGGCAGTGCAAAGGGAAGGCACAACATGGCCAGTGGTGAGAATCATGTGCCCTGGAGCCAGGTGTCTGGGTTTGAATCCAGACTCTGCTACTCACCAGCTGCGTGACTTCAGGCAAGTTGTTTGACATCTCTGAGCACCAGCGATCTCATCCAGAAAACAGAGTGGTACTTTCCTTTTGACAAATATATTTTGATCACCACTGTTTACCAGGCAGTGTCCCAGGCTGTGGGGATACAGACATCGGATCCCTGCCTGGGGAATTCATACTAAGAGGGGCAGTAGAGAATAAATGAGAGATAAAAGGAAAACGTATGGTGTGTTCAGTTTCTGAGTGCCAAGGAGAGGAATAAAGCAGGAAGCAGACTAGGAGGGGGGAGGGGGGGTGTGATTTTAGGTCACAGGGAGCACAGATGCACAGGACAGAGTGAGCCAGGAGGGTATCTGGACATAAAGGTTTCAAGAAGGTCACACGAGCACTCTCAGTGTACGTGTGGGATTCAATGATTCAGTATGCATAAAGTGCTCGGCACATAGTGAGTGCTCAGTGCATCCTGGCAGCTTTTAATCAAATCATTGTGGAACTGGTTGGCGCTGTCTCCCCAGGTGGAATGCAGGATCCTTGGGGTAGGGCTGGACTGTTTCATTCAGCGCACTGCTCCTGCTGCGTTGTCAGCACAATAGAGTAAGTCGCTGCCCAGTACGTTCTCGTGGGTGCATTATGAGCAGATGCAATGGAAGCACAGAGGGACACACGTGCAGCTCTGCCCCAGGAGAACCAGGGGAGGCTCTTCAGGGTTGGAGACATTCAGCCTAGGACTCTGAAGGATGACTAGGAGTTTGCCAGATGGAGAAGGCGGCGGGGTAGTGTCATGGTGGGGAGCACAAAACTGCATTGAGGCTAGTCCACGACTCACACTCTCCAGGTTGGGTAGATGCTCACGGGAAGAAACAGGAGGCTACAGGGAGTGGAAGAGAGTGGCAGAGAGGGAAATAATGGTAGGTGTTTGGAGAAGGGAGAGCTCACAGGAGCTGGTGTAGTCACCGAAGGCTTCCTGGAGGAGGCGGAGACCCTGACGGGAGCTTGGAGAAGGATTAAGAATTAGGGGGAGGAAAGACATTCCTGGAAGAAGGCTCAGTGTGAGCTGAGGCTCAGAGGCAGAATCAGGGCATCTGGGAGCCCCTGAGGGGTCAGTCCTGGCATAGGGGAGGGCTGGTGTCTTCTCAGAGGTGTGTTTTTCTCTGCTGCAACTAGATTTAATCCTCACATGTATTTAGTATTTTGGTTTTAGGATCAAAGGGATTCCTAATACATCATCTGACTTTATCCCCACCTTGTCTCAGAATGTCATGGGAGGGACGCCATGGCATCCTCCTGAGGAGGGTCGGGGCACTGTGCACAAGGGATGGTGGGGGGTGTCTCTAGAAACATAGGCCTGGCAGCTGCATTGGTCAGGAAGTGTGTGCTTAGAGTTTGCCCCTGGCTGAACAGAAGCTTTCCCCAGTTATCCGCAGACATTGGCATCCCTCCCCAGTGCCTAGACACAGGAGAGGTTCATGGGAACGAATGTCCAGAAGTTCAAAGAAAGCCCCAGGGACACCTCCTGGGATCGCGTCTGGAGAGTGACTAGTATTCTGCCAGCTTCGGAAACGGGAGGGAAAGCAAGCCAGGCAGAGGTACCCATTCCATTCCCAGCTTGCTCAGTAGTTGGAGATTGGAAGACACTCTGCAACAGTGAAAAAAAAAAAAAGAAAAAAGAAAGCCCCAGGGAAAGACGGGCTGTCGACTCGTGGCTCAGAGGACAGGGAGCCTGGGCAGGGTGCCAGGCCTGGAAGTTGCAACCTTGGGCCAATTGCTGCTGCTCTCTTGGCCTCAGGTCATCCCCTGGAAAATGAAGGTGGAAGACCAGAGAACCTCCAGGGCCCTTTCAGTTCTGATTCTAATTTCCATGCAAACATCCAACAAGGAACTTAGGGGTAATAGGAAACAGCCCCACGCCTTCTCAAAGTCAGGACTTTCCCATGTGGCACCACCCCCACCCGACCCTTGGCCTTGGCCCTGGACCCTCTAGGGCTGTGGAGTTGGGCCGAGCAAGGGAGGACAGGCCTGTGCCCAGTACTATGCTGAAGCCCGCTTGCACCCACTCTGGAGATCCAAGTCTGCTGAACACAGCCATTATTACAAAACAAATCGTAAAAACTTACAATCACGTCATTCATATTAAAAAGGAAGGAAGCACCCCTTATTAGAAATGCATCACTTCCTAATTATTTTGCTACATTTTACTATTATTCTCTCTGCCCCTGAGGTTCTTTATGTCTACAATCTCTGCATGGTGTACCAAGGAGCTACGCACATCTCTTCCAGCTCCTCGCCCCGGGGGGCCTCACCTTGGGAGCCTGAAGTCAGCTGTGGTTGGAGTATTCACACCTTGGGAATTGGCCAAGGCTCCACATGGGGAGTGGCTGTCAAACCCCTGCCAGTACCTCTGCTTCCCACCCACTCTCCTCCCTTCTCTCCTTCTCAAAGCCCCAACCCTTGGCAGAGTGACTGATGTTTAGGGAATTGCTCTCTTGGTCAGAGTGAGGCCAGTTAATTTCCTGCAGGTTGTTTACATGTCACTGTCCGAGCACACAGAGGCATTGCCAGAGAGGAAGGCACTGGCCCTGTATTCCCACGGGAGGCCCTCATGGGAGGCTTCTGATGAGCAGTCCCTGGTGTACTGCCTGCCAGCTCTGCCACCTGCAGTAAATTCCTTTTCCTTCCTGAGCCACAGGTTCCTCATCCGCAGCATGGGACACAGCAGTGCCTGCTTTGCAGGGTTCAGTGAAAAGACCATGGAGCCTTTAGCTCCATGCCTGGCACAGAACTGCATTCTCTACATGTGTATTGTATATATGTGAAAAAAATACTAGAACCAAATATTTATAAGGAAATAAAACAGAAGCAGAATGTTTGTCCAATAACCTTTCTGAGGAGCTCGGAGTCAGTTGTGGAGCTGGTGTGTTTGGCTTTTCTTTCCTGGCATTTGATGAAACTCACAAGAACAGTCATTACTGAGCGCTTACTATATGTCAGGCCAAATGTTTGCCCTGCGTTAATTATTAGGGTCCTCCTGACAAACACACCAGCTGGGGCCCATTGCAGCCACCATGCTGGTGTGGGGACTGAGCAGCCCAGTGGTCCCTGCTGTGGGTCTGTTTTGTCCCCTAAGCACCTGTCCAGGGCCGCTGGAAACAGTTGTTCAGTTTGCACCTGCCCAAAGGTGCCTGCCCCCAGGGCTGTGAGCAAGGGGTGCCTCTTTGTAACGCACCCTGCCAGACAGGCGCCTCTTTGCAATTCATCTGCCCGGAGGGACCCTTTGGTGATGAGCACTAAGGCCCTGTAGGAGCCAGCAGTGGCCCTGCAACTTGCAGTCCTCGGTTTCCCAAACCTGGTTCTCCTCCCCCTGCTATTTCTGTGAGCTCTTGAGAGCCTCCCAACACATGCCTTTATTTTTGCTGAGGTAGCAAGAGTGAGAGACAGATGGCCTGGAGCTGTGGGCACCACCCTCTGCCCTCATCGTTCCCTGAGTTCCCACACCGCCACCTTCTACTGTAAGCACCTGTGCCTGCCGGCCTGAACAAGCAAGGAGCCGGGGAGGTGACACCCGTAGGAGCGAAGGGAGCTGGGGGACAGCAGCCTGGCTTCCTCACCCTGGGGAGGGACACCTGTGAAGAGTGTTCTGCAGGGTTTCTCTGAGGTCCCACTGGCCTGGGGCAGTCATCTCTCATTAGCACTTTGGGAATTGGCTCCCTTCTTTCCTGCCTCAATTTCCCACTCTTCTCCTGGAACTTCCTGGGATTCCCAGCACCTCCCCCCGCCCCCACCTCCCAGCCCCAAATGTACTATCTGTGCTCAAATCCTGGTTAGATCTGTGTTGTGGGTGGAATTATGATCCCTCAAAATTTAGTCCAAATCCTAATCCCTAGTACCTGTTGATGTGACCCTTATCTGGAAATAGGGTCATTTTAGATGTAATTAATTAAGCTAAAATGAGGTCATGCCTGTCTAGGGTGGGCCCTTAATCCAGTATGACTGGTGTCCTTATAAGAAGAGAAGAGACACAGAAACGGAGACACAGAGAGAGAGAAGGCCATGTGAAGACAGAGGCAGAGAATGGAGGGGTGCATCCGCAAGCCAAGGAATGCTGAGGATTGTCCGCCACCACCAGAGCCGGAGAGAGGCATGGAAGAGCTTTCTCCTTTGAGCCTCCAAAAGGGAACCAAAGCCTGCCAACACCTTGATCTCAGACTTCTGTTCTTCGGAGCTGTAAGAGTATTAATTTCTGTTGTGTTAAGCATCCTGGTTTGCAATGCTTTGTTATAGCAGCCATAGGAAACTCATATAGTCTGCTTCTGGGAATGAACATAGTAAGCTTCTGTTGCTTGCAACCAGCAACCCTGACTGATAGACATTTCACAGATAGGGAAATTGAGGCTGTACAGGGAGTGACTCACTCCTACCATTCTGGCCAGGGACAGGTGAAGC